CCCCCGCCGCCGCCCCGCTCCCCTCCCGGCCCGTCCCTCCAGTTCCCGGGCCCGGCCCTCCCGGTCTCCGCCGCCGCCCCGCTCCCCTCCCGCGCCTCCCGGCCCGTCGCGCCAGTCCCCCGCCGCCGCTCCCGGCTCATCTCTCGGCCCCGCCCCCGCGCCGAGGTCCGTGTCTCGGGGCTCACGGTCGGTTCTCGCAGGCCGGCCGCCATGGTGAAGGAGACCACGTACTACGATGTGCTGGGGGTGAAGCCCGGCGCGTCGCAGGAGGAGCTGAAGAAGGCCTACCGCAAGCTGGCGCTGAAATACCACCCCGACAAGAACCCCAACGAGGGCGAGAAGGCAAGTGGCCCTGCCGGCCCCGAGGCGGCGGGCGGGGGGAGCTTGGCCCCTGCACGTGGGATTGGGTTCCCAACCGGGCTCTCTCTTACAGGCTGTAGAAATGTAGGTCATGTGCATGTAGCTGGAACTGCCTAACATCGAGCGGGTGTGGAGTTTCCAGTGCACATACAAGCCTCAAAAGAGGTTTAGTGTTAAGCAGTTTATTCCTAGTAGTTATTGGAGGGATACTGGTGAGTTGCAATGTAGTCACTATCGCTTAACACTTATTCTGATCTGTTTCTTACAGTTCAAGCAGATTTCTCAAGCATATGAAGTACTTTCTGATCCCAAGAAAAGAGAGTTGTATGACAAAGGTGGTGAACAGGCTATTAAAGAGGGTGGTACTGGCAGTAGTTTTGGGTCACCCATGGATATTTTTGATATGTTCTTTGGAGGAGGTGGAAGAATGCAGAGAGAGAGGAGAGGTAATTTGACCATTTCTGTGATATTACCTAAAGTGACCATTTACTATTGAAGTATTTACTGTAGAATATGTAACTGTTCAGAGTATGGTGTAAGATTAGACACTGACTGCTGTGTAATACTTTTTACGAACTAAACAGTGGTGTTGTTGTTGTTAATGCTGTGCAACAGTGTCTAAAATGATTAGAAACCATAGCTGGTTCCAAGCGAATGACATTTTAGGTAAAACGTTATGCTCTTTACAGGTAAAAATGTTGTTCATCAGTTGTCAGTAACTTTGGAAGACTTGTATAATGGTGCAACAAGGAAACTGGCTCTGCAGAAGAATGTGATCTGTGACAAATGTGAAGGTATGTTAATGTTTACTGTTGGATTTTTATGATTTTTCAAATAACTGAATATTGGAATTAAAATCTGTTCATCCGGGTTTAAAGAAACCATCTAAATCCAGGGTAACTTTGTTCTAGGTAAATTGTAAATGTACTTCTAGTTAAACCAAAATCAATTCTAATTTGACTTTGCTGTCTTGTCATCAGGCCGAGGTGGTAAGAAAGGTGCAGTAGAATGCTGTCCCAATTGCAGAGGTACAGGCATGCAAATACGAATTCACCAGATAGGACCAGGAATGGTTCAGCAAATCCAGTCTGTGTGCATGGAATGCCAGGGACATGGGGAGCGTATCAGTCCTAAGGACAGATGTAAAAGCTGCATTGGAAGGAAGATTGTTCGAGAGAAGAAGATTCTAGAAGTTCATATTGATAAAGGTAAAGCATTCAAGGAGAACTTGGCTGAGTTTTGTAATGTCTTAATAGATTTGTATTAACCTTGGATTTGCATTATACAAATTTCAGTAATCGAAAGAGCTATTACCCAGTGGCAGTGTTACATGCACATTAAAATGCGTAGCAATTGTGTTGCTTACTGTTAAATGGTAAAACATGTGCAGAGCTCTAAAGGGTAGATTTGGCTTCAAATATATACATCTTCATGGCTAATGTCAGTGCAAATTACTGCTCACTTGTTTAGTAAGCATTAACTTGACTACACCTAGTGTCATGTTAGTTGCATATTGATTACTGGATATGCAAACAGTGGATTGATTCACAGTGAAGAGAAACTGACAAGCAGACTAATGCCAGAATGCTGACTAATTACTGACATTTTTTTAAAATAAAACAAGCAAGTGGAACACTTGGTGATGAATTAAGTTGCTTTAGTATTACTCCTTTAGGAATTCTGTGCCCAAAAATTCTGTGCACAATATTTTAAGATTCTGCAAACTTTGTCAATAAATAAATAGAGGCTCCAGCATGGCAGTGGGGAGCACAGGCCCCTGGCTGCATGGAGGTGGGAGATCATCCTGCAGTCCCCATTTCCCCCCACCCTCCCAGACAGGGACTCAGCAGTGAGGCTGCACTTGACCCTGACACAATGCAAGGGCTAGGGCTGCCCCACGAACACCCTGGGGCCCTGCCTCTCTGCGCCAGGTGTAGGCAGGCTCAGCCCAGCAGGATCAAAGTGTGGAGGGGCTTAGTGTGGGACAGTCTTGGTGCTGGCAACTCAGTGGGGGATCTGGATTCACACAGGCTCGTTGGGGGTGCAGGGGCAATGGGACTCCACGGGGGGGGGGGGGTGTCCAAGTGAAAGTGTATGGGGGGGCTGCTGCTGCCAAGGGGCTATTGTATGCCAGGCTCCTTCTTCTCCCTCCTTTCCCTTCATTCCCTTTTCCTTCCACCCCTGCCCCACTTCAGGTATTCACCAGGAGGACCCAGGAGGCGATGTCCAGCTGCAGAGTCAGCTAGCCTTTGTGGAACCCTCTTTTACCTGGGCAGCTCTGTGTGCTTGCAGAAATGGAGGGGGGGCAGTGGCACATGACCCTGTATGTCTCCCCAAACTGCACCATGGGCATCCCCAGCCCTATGCCCACCATGTAGATTTACCTCTCCGCTAGCTGCTCCAGACACCAGAAACCCCGCTGGCACGTGACTGCTCTTGCAGCTTCCCTTTGCTTCACCGTCACTTTCTTCAGGGAAGCAAATAAATTTGCAGGGGCGGTGCAGAATTCTCCCCAGGAGAATAACGTTTTCACTAGTCTTGAGGATTGTACAGATCCTGGTCATTCTACTGTATCTCAGTAAGATCTGCTAAAATTTGTGGTGTAAAAATAATGTTAAGCCTGTAATGCAGGGGAGGCCACCCTGAGCCTGAGAAGGAGCCAGAATTTACCAATGTACATTGCCAAAGAGCCACAGTAATATATCTGCAGCCCCTCGCACTCCCAGCGCCTCCCAACCACCAGCAGCCCTGCCGATCAGCGCCTCCTGCTTCCTCCCCGCACCTCCCAGTCAGCTGTTTCATGGCATGCAGGAGGCTCTGGGGGGAAGCAAGGGCATGGCAGGCTCAGGGGAGGGGGCGGGAAGGGGTGGAGTGGGGGCAGGGCCTGTGGCAGAGCCAGGGGTTGAGCAGTGAGCACCCCCCAGCACATTGGAAAGTTGGCGCCTGTAGCTCCAGCCCCAGAGTCGGTGCCTATACAAGGAGCTGCAAAATCTCTTCTGAAGAGCCACATGTGGCTCCAGAGCCACCCCTGCTGTAATGCTCCGAACTCAATCTGTTAAGCAGTCCTAACAGTCTTGCTCCAGGTGCTACTGACCTACATTGGCTTGAACAATATCTGGCAAAGTTAACCAGCAGAGTTCACTACAAACTGTCCTCTGAGGTAGGGGACGGGGAAAGGCCATATTGTGCAACAGATGCAAGAAGCTTCTATTGCTGAATAGGCCTTGTCAAAAGCTGGTCAGTACTGGCTGTGGAAGAACTTGAGCAGTCAAATGTTAACCGCTTCACAAGCATGCAGCATACTACCAACTGGCTGATGTGCCTGACCCTCCCAGTAACTGCATTCTACATCGACACTCGAAGTCTCTGTAATATGCCCAGAATTTTAAAGGAGGGAGAATATTGAAGCAACAGTTTCAGGGGGCAGGAAGTACAGAAATTGGCACTAAGATACATGCAACACTTCCAGGATCTAGTATCTTCATCTTGAACGATTCAGACCTAAATTTGTTCTTATTACATGGTTGAAGCATGCAGGCCTCCAGCGTGCAGAGGGCTTTTCCTTAGTGCCTAAGGGAGTTGCATGCCTTTTGACAATACCACCCTGAATCTCTACACTGTTGCCATATCTTTACAATTTGGCTGTTTGCTGTCAACTCAGCTGGTGTTGAGTAAACCTTTCTGGACAAGTATCCACATCACCACAAATTACTGTGCTTAACACTGCTGGCAGTCTCCGAAGCCAGGGTCTGAGTTCTGACTTGAGCATCCAGTCAGGATTGAATACTGGTAATACAGTATGGCAAAGACTACACTACTGCCTGTATGGTCACTTCATGTATGAATAGAGAACTTCAGCATATAGTATGAAGTCCTAAAACACAAGCTTAAATTACTGTAGGATTCCACTTTCTTGCACTTGATTAAAATTCATTTCTGTGCTTGACTGTTTCTAGACTGACTGTCCATACACTGAGACAAAGGTTGGTGAGGTAATATCTTAATGAACCAACTTCTGGGAGGGTGGGAGACAGGCTTTCCAGTTTACACAGAGCTGCCTTTTTTTTTTTCCAGGCATATACATCTCTATGCATTGTTTTGCAGACTACTTCAAAGTCTGAGCATGGGGTGGGCAAACTTTTTGGGCCGAGGGCCATATCTGGGTGGGGAAATTGTATGCAGGGCTAGGGTGTGGGAGGGGGTGTGTTGTGCAGTAGGGGTGCAGGCTGTACGAGGGGGCTC